TGTTGCACTATATGCTGACTAATTTGGATGTAAATTAAAAAAATAAAATTAAAAAAAAAGAAAACAAAAAACAAAACAACTACTGGCCAGGGCCAGAAATTGCATGAACTCAGAATCAGAAGTACCGTAGCCAGTCAGCATACTGCAGTGTGGCCCAGAGTAAAGTGCTCAACTCCCAACACAGGTGCAAAAATTCCATATCTCTTACTATTCTCTTTTGGAAGCAGACAACTGGTTGGGTTCCCTGACTCTGGGCTGATCTCAGCTATAATGCAAGGGATATAGTGTGAATCAAGATAGCAGAGACTTCTAAGATTTAGCAGCAAGCAGCTCACCTTGATTGCCTCTGGTGAATACTATGGCCTTGAAATGGCTTTGAGAAGCCTCTAGAACCAGAAGTGTGAAGTAATCTCACTTGCTTTGATTACTATGACTGACCACACCTCTGACAAATACTTTGACTATGCAACAGTGTGGCACTTTGCTGGAGCATCAAGAGTTCCTTTAAAAGCATAGAATTATCAATTCGGTTGCGCAAAGCTGCGTCTAGTCCACAGGATTGTCCTCTCTTTTCCTGCTAAATGACTTCTCCTCCTTCCCTTCAACTCCTAGGCCCCCTACGTGCTGAGAAATGAGGCCCTCCATATTAACAGAGGAGAGAGAGGAACCATCACTACCCAGCTGCTTGACATCCGAGATGACGACAACCCACAGGATGTGGTGGTCGAAGTGCTTGATCCTCCACTTCATGGCCAATTGCTCCAAACACTTCAGTCCCCTGCAACCCCAGTCTATCAATTCCGGCTGGATGAACTCTCCAGGGGCCTTCTCCACTATGCTCATGATGGCTCTGACAGCATATCTGATGTTGCAGTCTTGCAGGCCAATGATGGACATTCCTTCCAAAATATACTCTTCCACATGAAGACTGTGCCCAAGGTAGGTGCCATTCCTAGAGCAGCAATTTTCTTGCACCTAGATGCGAAGTTTTGTTGATATTATTTTGCAGTATTCATGTTTTGCAGTTAAGATATGGATAGTTATCTATTCAAACATTTATTAACCATCTATTATGGAAATACTCAGGACATTCTAAGATTAATAGAACACGTTACCCATCTCGAAGAGCACTATCTATTTTGTTGGGAGCACCCTTCTCTACACAAGGGCAACTTTTGTACCTTTATGTTGACTTGCTGCCATAAAAAATGCCTTGTTGTCCACTGATCCTTTTGTCTCCTGCCTGATCATAAGAATCAAGTACACCCCTGTTTTTGTCTGCCCTTCTACAGCAGCTCATGCTATGTGAAGCTCATAGTCAGGTTATCATAATGAATCAAAAAGGACGAGTGCAGCCATTCTATTAAGCCAACTGAAGTAGGATGAGGGAACTCTTTCTTTTAGTAATCATAGGAATCCTTGTCAGTCTGAGTCATTCCCATGACACCTCCATATGTTTTTGCCGTATCCACAAACATCTTTTCTTTTAGTTTATTTATTTTGAGAGAGAGAGCATGAGTAGGGGAGGGCGAGATAGAGAGAGAAAGAGAGAGAGAGAATCCCAAGCAGGCCCCATGCTGTCAAGTGTAGAATCTGAGGCAGGGCTCAAACCCATGAACTGTGAGATTGTGACCTGAGCCAAAGTCCTGAGTTGGACACTTAACCAACTGAACCACCCAGGTGCCCCCCACTAACACCTTTTCTGTTATTTACTTAATATTTTTCTTTGTATCCACTTTTTTTGTGTGTGGCTTCTTTGTAACAAATAATGAATATGAGATTATGGGCTTAATGTATAATTATACTTTTTTCTAAAATATGAAAATTAATACCTAAAAATTTTTAAAAATATTCATCCATGTAGTGCATAGAATGTTCCAGGATACTATTAATGGGATGGCTACCATGTTTTGGGAAATACTGAGCTAATCCATGCTAGATCCAAAAGACTTATTGCAAAACATTTTCAAAACCATTTATTACTTGATGGTATTTCACTAGAAGCTATTTTTTGCATTATAGCAAAACTGGCTCTTTCTCATGGTGGTAGATGGAAAGACTTATCATTTTTATTGAACTTTTCATTCCAAATATCAGTTGCCACTGAAGTGTCATTAATGATTAGCTGGAGAAATTGATTTGCTGAAGACAGCTTAGAAATGACTTGTCACTTTCTCACCAACGATCACTCAAAATTTGCGATGGATCCTTGTGAAGGTGAACAGCTGAATGTAACCTAGTCTCTGGCTAGTTTCTTAGGCTGTTGTCTCATGATTTGCAGCTGCTGAAAACAGCGATGGTGGCATGAGATAGATGGGAGCAAGTGAAGGCTGATTATGAGATAGAGTTGGCAGGTAGCCACCTTGTAGCTAATCCTAATTATCACCCTCTTGCAATCGCCTTGGGAGATGAGGTTTAGTTCTGAAGAGATGAAGTCTAGACAGAATCAGAAAGTTTCTTTTCTTCTTCCTTGGTTTTCTTCCAAAGATTGTTATGGGATTTCAGCGCAACATTAGCAGCCGCCTTTCCTAGAGTGCTCTCAGTCTCCACGTTTGGAGCTCGGTTCAGTGTATGGCACTGTCATTTTGTATGCTATAGCCCAAGGTTGAAGGGTATTTCTAGGATTTTAGCTGCTTTGACTACAAAAACAAAACAAAGAAAATAAAATTTTAATTTATAAATAAGGCATAAGCACAGATCTCGAGTATCCTTGTAGTGCTTATAACTTGGGATCCGTGTTGGTATTTACAGGGTCTGTCCCTCCTCCTTCCTCCTGCCATCACTCTATCTCCTACAGTGTTGTGCTTGCCTGTCCATCAGATGAAATAATGGCTTCTGAGCCAATGAACTGGGATAATGAAACCAGTGACCAGAACGTCAGCATCTATCAAGATGTACTAATAAGTTTGACACTGTAATACTGATATTTTACAAATACATCCTATATTTCCTCTCAGGAGTTCAAAGTACTTCTTCATATCTATTCTACTGATCTTTACAATATCTTAGTGAAGGAGGTTAGAACAGAGGCCATGTGACCTTATTCCTTCTAAAGGAAATTCTATGGGTGGGAGGTATTTTTGTTTGTTTTGCTTTTAACCTTTATTGGGCACTAATGCTTGATATAAATTATTTCATTTGATGTTCACAGTCACTCTGGGGTACTTGTACAATTATTATCTCTAATTTTCCAGAAAAGGAAACTGGAAAAAAAAAGTTTAAAAACATTGTTCAAAGTTTAAAAATGTTTATTTTTCATTAAAGTGTTTAGTGCCAGGGCGCCTGGGTGGTTCAGTTAGTTAAGTGGCCAACTTTGGCTCAGGTCATGATCTTCCTTGAGTTCGAAACCCGCCTCGGGCTCTGTGATGACAACTTGGAGCCTGGAGCCTGCTTCAGATTCTGTGTCACCCTCTCTCTCTGACCCTCCCCTGCTCCCACTCTTTCTATCAACAATAAATAAACATTAAAAAAAATATACATATATATATATGTATGTGTGTGTGTGTGTGTGTGTGTGTGTATATATATATGTATATATATATATTTAATGCCAGAGCCACGATTTCAACTCAAGTGTGTTCTGGCTCATCACATTTAACCCACGTGGCTTTTTTCATTCTAGTCCATATTTTTCAATGTTTTAGACATATATATTCTGATCCCCCTAATGGACAGAATGGAGACAGCAATTTTTTTCATTTTCACAATATCCTATCCAAGCAATCTGGGCACTAAGCCTTCTGGAATCTTCCCTCTGGACTCACTACATCTTGTTACAAGTGAAGCTATTTATAATCATAAGTCTACTGGAGCCCAAGAAGAAAAAAATTGCCTCAGCTATTAATGGCTTCTAATAGATATATAGTCAGACATGATTGATTTCATTCTGATAGCCATTTCTGAAGATGGGCATCCAAGTCCTTACCCTGTGGCAGCCTGCGTATTAAATTTGGAGATAGGCCAGTTACTGGCTGATGTCTAGCCGGTGGCTTAAGTGGAGTGGCTAAGGGGTTTAGGTCTAATTCCTGGTGAATGGATGTACAAATTAATCCCAGTGTTGTTCAGTAGAAAACTTAACCTGGTAATACGGATGGAAAGAGAGGGAGGGATAGAAAAAGCGAACTTTGTGGGAGCAGGAACTATTTCCGTTTTCCTCTCTTGAGCCAGGCACCTTGTAAGAGTTTAGTACATTTTTAAAAATTTTTCTTAATGTTTATTTATTTCTGAGAGAGAGATACAGAGTGTAAGTGGAGGAGGGACAGAGACAGAGGGAGACACAGAATCCGAAGCAGGCTCCAGGCTCTGAGCTGTCAGCACAAAGCCTAATGCGGGGCTTGAACTTGCAGACCGCGAGGTCAAGACCTGAGCTGAAGTTGGACGCCCAACCGACTGAGCCACCCGGGTGCCCCGAGTTTAGTACATTTTTGTTGGATGGATAGATAGTTGGGGGGATGCAACAGCTTGAGTGAGGCTGGTTCTCATGTTCCTACCTTTGAATCCATCTCTTGTGTCAGATGTGAAGCCTTCAGGGCACCTCTGCTGATGTCAGGTGGCCTATCTGGGACTAAGGGTAGGAGCTATCAGTTCCACTCTTGGTTCTCCAGTTCTACATCACTTCTTCCAAACTTTTATCCTTGGCCTGGCAGTGAGGAAATTTGACTGCTACCCTCCAGGCTTGTGGTGAGTCACTGAGGAGAAAATAGACTCAGGACTGATGTTGAAACATGCTCTCTTGGGGGTAGGAGGCAAAATAAATCAAAGAGATTAGAAGGTAATAAAGAATGCTCTGCTGAACAGGCTCTCATTAATTGGGCGGATTACCAAACCTGAGCCTGCTAGAGATATGATTTTAAAGCAGTTTGGTGTCTAATAAGGGCTAAAATGTGAGCAGGGAAAAGTCATGCTTTTTGGTGGTTTTCTCTCCACTGTTGGGCTTTAAAGAAATTACCCTCTTTTTCGTTAATGAAGACATCTCTGGAAAATCATGCCTCTTTTTCCACTTTGGCAATAAGTCTGATGATCTTTGTGACCTCGTTTGTTGACTTTGAGCAATTTATTTTCTGCAACTGGGTAGTGCTTTGATGTTAAAAGCCCCAAGTATCATGCTAGGAACTAGATGGAAAATTTTGTTGCTAAGAGTCCTCTTGGGCTGTTTGAACTTGGTAAGGCCCGTGTGCAGCGAAAAGCCCTGTTGTGCTTTCCCTCAGTTTTCTTAAAACTTGTCCCCCCAGTTGTTGTTTTGCAGAGATACCATTTGATAATAAGGGTGCTTGTGACAATTATAAATATGGCAGGAAAATGTTAATTTTTTTAACAAGAGTCTGTCTAATGCATCAACAACTAAATCTCTACCATGTGTCAGGGTTTCACCTTTTATGGACTTGTTTAACTTGTTGATTTTGGCATCTTGGAAGATGCATCGCTCAGAGTATATGCTCAAAAAATGGTTGTTGATTACAAAATTTTGTTTATAAAGTTGTTGAAATCTACATGGAGAAGAGGTTCTATATTCTTGACCTGAAGGAACAGAGCTTCTGAGGAGCATGCATACATTGGCAAACACAAAAACAGTCCAATTATCTTTCCATCCCTTACCTGGTAAATAGCATTTAAGATTCACCTTCTATGCACCATCCTATGTGATCCTTCCCTAAAATCCACAATGTCCTATAAGACTGCATTCTAAAAGCTATGACATAAATGAGTCTTTGCAAATTAAGGCATATTTTTACAGAATAAATTGATGTTAGGATTGCTGTTATATCCAATTGTTGTCATTTTCTATTTGATTAAGTTTAAAAATCTTTTAGTTTGAATAGTTTGGCCTGGGGTTGGGGTACACTATCATTTGAGATCATCATTTATGTCCCAACATTTATTTTAGGGAGGTAAGTTTTCATTTTATTTGTGAGATTTTCCTCCTAATGATAGAAGCTTAGGCCCTTACTTCTGGTTTACAACAATAATATTTTTATTTGTAATACAATATATAATGGCTAAACTTTATTGCCAGCATTTCTGTATGCCCTTTGTTCTATGAAATGAATCAGAAGAACTATTTAATTTAAAGTACTCTTTTGATCATGCCCCCATAATCCCTGTTTGGGATTTCATTGCTTTCTAATATGGTACCCTGAAGGGCATATAAAACTTCACTAGGCAGGAGATTATTCAACTCATGTTATGGCTAATTTCTTCAGTTCACAGGGATATATGCATCATTGTTCAGAAAAAAAAAAAAAAACTACAAGTAGATAAAGAAATTGCAAAATGTCAGAATCATTTGGGAAATGAGGTTAAAATTTGGCTTTTCTGGACACTTTAACTGTAGAAAAGATGGTGTATAACCTTCTATTCATCTCTTCTTGAATCGTCCCTGGACTCTCTCCCAGAAGAAAGAAAATGATAAAACCATCTTCATCAAAATATGAGTGGGAAGAATTACACTTCTTTCCCTTAGACAGTTGTCTGTTTCTTCTTAAGTATTGTAAACAAATAATTCAGAAACAGAGGCATTTATATTATCTGGTGATAAATATAAATATTGTAAAAGGCCTGTCTGTGGGGTTTCAGGAGAACCACTCTAGCTCCATCACTGTATCTATCCTGGGCTGTGCTTCTCCTGATTTAGCATGACTCCACATCCCCTGGGGATTGTGTTTAAATACAAGTGGAAATTCATCAAACTAAAAAGCTACACAGCAAAGCAAACAATCAAAAGAATGAAAAGGCAGCCTACTGAAGGGGAGAAAGTGTTTGAAACCATATATCTGATAGGGATTAATATCTAAAATATTTGACGAACTCTAACAACTCAATAGCATCATAATCCTCCTCCTCCTCCTCCAATTAAAAAGTGGGCTAAGGGGGCGCTTGGGTGGCTCAGTACATTGAGCATCTGACTTCGGCTCATGTCATGATCTCACAGTTTGTGAGTTCAGGCCCCATATAGAGTTCTCTGTTGTCAGTACACAGCCCGCATCAGATCCTCTGACCCTTTCTCTCTCTGCCCCTCCCCCACTCATGCACACTATCTCTCTCTCTCTCTCTCTCTCTCTCTCTCTCTCTCTCTCAAAAATAAACATTTTTTTTTAAAGTGGGCTAAGGATCTGCATAGACCTTTCTCAAAGGAAGACATACAATGGCCAAAGGTACATGAAAAGGTGCTCAACATCACTCATCATCAGGGAAAT